TTTCGGGTCCTTCACAAATTGTATTATAGTATCTTTGATATTAATCCATAATATTGATTTTCCGTGTAACCCGTATGGATGGTTTAAATTTTAGAAATTACGCTTAAACGTGTGTGTATAAACTGTGTTCCTCGAGACAACTTATATAATATTATACATGAAAATATAATATGCAGTAATTTAAATAAGAATAAACAAATTCCTGTTGACCAGTCGATATTTACATTGACTAGTCAATTGGTGTTTATGATATAACATTAAAATATCAAATTAGGCCTATAAGTCCCGTTTAAATTGGCACTGTGGTTACAATTTATTCCCTGACGATATATAATGAATTAAATCCACACTAATTAACGAAGTTCGTCACATGTCTTCATCTAAGTTGATACCGTACTGATCGCACTTCTAAGAGCTTTGATATTTCCACTTCACGAACGTCATTTCCTACCAGCCTATCGAGAAAAGACAGTAGGAGACCCGAAGGAGCGCTTTTATCTCTGCGTTTCTCATTTTGTACTGGAAACTTTGCGACAACGCTGCCCCATTTTCTGCCCTAAATAGAAGGATTTTGTTATCACTGTCTAGTACAGGTTGCGTATTGGCATTCGTGTGTGGATCTATAGTCACTTCTGCTTGCTTACATTACTTTTTGACATCAAAGGTTAACTGGCGTGCTTTCAGTTTTGTTGAATCTTATAGCGGAAAAATATAGAAAACTCAAGTACTTTATAAGAAAACAGGGACATCAAACTCATTCACAAAGCTGGAAATTAAACCCTTCATTGACTTTATGCACAAAGAATCCATTATCGCTTTGTTTCTGCTGTAAGAACGGACTGTTCTTGAGTCAAGACAAAAGAAGAGGTAGATGATTAAGGAATGGAGTCGGTCTTGTCACATAAATTTTCCTGTCAGAATCACAGTGAATGTGCTTGTGTTGAGAGAATGTGTCTAAATGTTTTTATTTCAAAATGGGGACTGTGACGTGCGTCATATTTTGGAATCCGGAAAACGTGTTTTTTAGTGTTTGTCCAATGTACAGATTTGTTTCTGTGCTTGTGGAAACATACTGGGATGGTTGTGAGTTGGGAACGTTTGAGGAAATGAAATTATGATTTATTTGTGACATATTATACTTTCTTTATAAGGAAATACATGTTATTACCCGTGTGTTCGTTCATGTACCAAAGGACAGATTTTCATAAAATTTGATCTGAACATCATATTGCTAGAGATCATTCTATCTTTGTATTTTAACGTCCGGCCTAAGATAAATCGGAAACACACTTCCGTGTTGTGTAGAAAATTACGTATACGTGCCAGAAAATCACGAATATGGCGATGGTGCGAATCTGTGACAGTGAAAACTGTGCAAAAATTTGGTTCGCTAGAGATTAAGATAGAGATCCTTTAATAACCTACGATCTAGCTTCGGTATTCGGTTTTGAAGGAAATAATCCCAGTAATTTTTTCCCCCAGAACATCGAAAGATGAAATGACAGACGACTTTATAAAGTACAACAAAAAATCATAGCTTTCCGAGAAAACATTTAGACCAATAGCCGCGTAAATAAAGTCCTTAATAATGCTTTGCTTGTATCTGTGCAGTTGTACGAAATTATGAGATGTCAACGAGTCAACTGATTGTAGGTACATAATGTCGGAATATCAGGCCCGAATTCTGCCCAATTTGTAATGTTTATTTATATTAACTACGTAGATTTGTGGTTTGTAGGTTCATGGTCTGAATGGACGATGGGATTGTACTTGGAAATTGGAAGACAACTGCTTCCTTCTCAATTGTCTCAAGTTCGGAGGTCACGCATATCTTAAAAAGGAGGAGGAGAGGTATGCAATTAAACAAGAAAGAAACAATAATGAATATGTAGTAGTCAGCTCACGAGTTGGAACCTGGCGTTAACAACAGCGTAAATGTAGTCTTTTAAGAACATGGTTAGGCGAATGTTTAATTAAGGAAATTTTGATAAACAACTTCAAATGAAATGTATACAGAAGAGTGAGCAGAACGTAAGACGACTTGCAATTTTCAAAGAGAGACATTACAGTGATTTTGATTGAGCGTTATGTGAATTCATTTAAAATGATGTAGGTCTGTACTGACTTGTACTTTATCTGGCGAAAGAAGTTTTTATTGTACTATGTCTATAACTTTTGTTATTATTTCAGTTAAATGTACAGTAGACTCCCGATTATCCGGGCTGGTTGGGACATGTATTTACCCGGATAACTGAAACCCTAGATAATTATTTACATGCAGGCTTCTTACTTTTTAAAAGTTTGCTAATAATAAAGGGGATTTTATGTAAGAAATTAATTTATTACGTACCAACTATTTAACAAAAATTACAACGGTTAGTAACAACATTCTAGTGTCGTAAACTTCAGATGTTAGCGACAGTTTGTTTATGTTAATACATTAAATAATGTAATTTTTGTATTTATTCATTTCTTTTTAAACAATTTAACATTTAAAACAGATTTTTTAATTTCACTTTTAATTTTCGTTTTAACTAGATGGCCTCCCATTAATACGCCCCGAGATAAACGGGAGTCTACTGTGTGGTACATTCCACTTAAATTTATAGTAATTTCTCTCATGTATTTATTTCTATCATTGAACCTCAGCGGGCATATTTATATATATTTTTTGTGCTGTAGCTTATAATCATTCACAGGACGAGATATTTGGTTATGATTGGATTTGATATTTGTGACTTACTGGCAGACTCGCAGACCAGATACTATTTATGTCGCACAAATGAAAAAGAGGACTTCTTACAGAAATAGTATAAAGTGTGTAATTTGGTGAACGTTATTTTAAAATTTAAATAGGATTTCCGATAGAATAATCAGTATTGAAATTGCGGATTGAAGTGAGGCCTGCGCTGTCAAAATATTGTAGCGCCCTTAACTGTAGGGATATTCAGATGTCGACCTTTGTTCTTAAGGTCGGGGAAATTAACAATTGTGAAAGTCGTTAATGCAAAGGATCATCATCAGTGTTCCTTGAGTCCGTGGTACACACCTTATTGCCGGAGCACAGCTACTACTCGAGTGAAATGTATAACCTATAATTTCCATGTTTTTTCTGCGTGCGCGATTAATAATGACTCCTATACTG